TCCGTAATAGAAAAAAGAAAGTCAATGGCTACTAGTTTCCACTTTTCCAACAATCTTCAATATACCTTTTTGTGTGTGTGTGTGTGTGTGTGTGCGTGTGTGTTCAAAATAGGAAGGAAACTTAAAACGATGTTAGAATTTCATTTTTTGAGTGAACTATCCCTTTAAGTATGAGCAACGCTAGGTGAATCTCAGTGAGCAGCTCTAATAAACTGAATGAAAATGCTGAAAAGAAAGCTCCTTCAGATGTCAGTGTCCGGCTATCAGTGTGAAATCCATCAGTGTGGTGAAGAAAAACATTATTCTTTTGAAGACACGTCTGTCTAATGTCTTCATACAGAGCTGAACATCAATACGCCATGGCAACCAGAGGAGAGCCTTTTCAAAGCTCAATGTCAAGGAGGAAAATCGGCTCTTCCGAAAGACAAAATATTCACACCACAGCCCTCAAGATGATGCGGAGGTTATCTGGGAACATCTCGAGGAACTACAGTATCAACATAATATTTAGATGTATCTGCTGGTGTTATTCGGACTCACATACACAACTGAGAATCAACAAATGTGTTGTGTACTAAACAAATGTACTAACAATACTGATCAGTGAGGCTAATAAAAAAATAAGGCTTCAATTTGTAATAACGATTGAAGTCATGGAAGAAGGTCATGTGATCTGTGAGTCCAAATTTACCCTGCTCCAGAGTGAAGGATGTATCATGGAAAGAAGTGATGTATCAATCACGCATAGTGCCTACCATACAAGCCTGTGAGGGAAGACCTGTGATCTGTGGATGCTGCAGTTGGTCAAGTCTAGGTTCAAGAAAGTGATGAGCCCTATCATACACCCAGCGCAACAAGGCGCAATACGTGTTTGGCGTGATTTGTTGCTATTTTTAGACCAGCGCAGCCCTAACTTTCACGTTTTGTTTTAATAACAAATCTATTTGCGACACTGTGGAAATGAGGTGTGTTAGAGTGCATTGTTGGTGCATTGCTATTTTGAGAAACTGAAATAGATGGCGAAATAGAAAGCTGGGGCCTCATGTACAAAGACTTGCATTGAATTAATACTAAAACATTGCGTACGCACAAAGCTGTAAATGTGCATACGCATTAAAAAATTCAGATGTATGCAACACTGTGTGTGCTTAATCCCATGCATATTCTCTTTGTGCATCCGAATTAACGTGAAATTGAGCGCACGTGCACGAGTGTAAAAACCCTCCCTTTTATGAATATGGTAATGACTCTACTTTGGCAAAACCAAACAAAAAAGTAATGCCAAAAGCAAGCAAAAAGAGAAACTTTGAACAGAATGTGAATTGGAGGAGCTCCTTTCGGAGGTAGACCGGAGAAAACTGTTAGTTGCAAGTTTATCCTCTGGAGTTAATAACAAAAGAAAAAAAATAGAGTGGGAGAGTTTAGCTGACGCGGTTAAAGGCTGATTTATACTTCTGCGTCAAACGCAGGCGCTGACGCATAGCCCTTCGCCGTGGCCATCGGCGTCGCTGACGTGCACCTCTCAAAAAATGTAACTACATGTTGCAACGATGCGTAGCGCAAGCTCTGTGTTTGGTCGGCTTGGTAGCGCTGACGAGTCTGGGCGGGACCGAGAGCCGCATGAATGGTGCGAGCCTGATGGAGCGATTGTTTACAAGTGTGGTGTCCCGTAAAGGAGCTCCGGATGGAAAGTTTTGTTTTGTGTTCACCTCATAGTCAAAGTTATTGCACGTCCGCCGGTTCCTGCCTCAAAATGAGCGAGTTTGAGCCACTTGTACATCCCGGAAGAGTTCAGGAAAACAAAACAGCAGCGAAGAAACTCGACACAGAGGAACATTTACACCTCACTGCCAACTAGTGTTTCGGAAGTGTTAATGCAGACCAACAGAGACAGCACGCAGAAGTATAAATGCACAGCCACGCGCGTTGCATGCGCCGATAGTTACGCCGGTCACTTGACGCAGAAGTATAAACCAGGCTTAACGCAGATGGGTTTGAACATCGCACTGTGAATTAATTAAAAAAGAAATGGTCCGATGTAAAGGTGTAAAATTCTGTAGTGTCTATTTAGGCTCAGTGCAAATAGCACACCTCGTTGGAATGAGCTAGTTGATTGATTCCCACCCATCACCATTTGATTAGTAACTAAAGACAGCGGCAAACAGCAGCGGGAGTGGTGTAGCTCGTAAAGCGTATGGCAACATGTTTTGACACGTTTGATCACGAACTCGGTTCAAACCTAGCGTCTGATAAACTCATTCTTTTTTTCCCCCACTATATATCAGATTTTGCTTACTCTTCATCACGAGGAAGACAAGTAGGAATTATTAATAGGTGTGTGTGTGTTATGTTAAGCGCATTTGAGCATCACATATTATTTGCACATTTATTGAATGGAAATGTTTCCGATTCACGTATGCATATTCGTCTTCAGATGGCGCCTCTATAGCAATGTGTGTGCAGTCGACCGCTCCGATTACATTGGGAAAATCGTCGATCGCTGCAAATTGAGCTTTAATGTTTGACTTGAAAACTGTATGGTATGGAAACCTTATATACCTGCTAGACATGCGGATGATCCCGCCCCATACAGCTGCCATTGCACAGCTCAAAGATACATTGTAGCGTGCAATTTAACATAATTGCCTCTAGAAGTCGTCAATGGAAATAAAACAAACACACACAAGAAATGCACGTACGCCAGACATGACGTTGGCATGGACCAACGCACATTCTCTTGTTCATTTCATTGTTAGTAAATCCAAATGTCAGCCTGAAAACTGGCGTACGTAAGTTTTTGTGTGTAAGCAGTGTTGATACAAGAGGCCCCTGGTCTGGCGCAGAGCACATTAGTTATGCTCCTACAGTATGTGGTTTTAAACACTAAATACACAAGATGTACACCAATACACAAATATCATTACAAATGAAAAAAATAAAGGATTAAAATGTTGCTACATATTACATATTTACTACATAGATAGAAAAAAACACTACCTCCATCCCTTCTTCATGTCCGGGAGGCACCCATAGCTTATTAAGAGAATAAACACAACCCTGTTAGACCATGCGCCATGGCGCAAAGCATATTTTCCATCCTTAAAATAGCAAAAGTTGATTAAGACATGCCCTAAACGCTTTTGCGCCATGCACTTTAGATTTTGTGCTTAGATTGTTGAAGTAGAGCCTCAAGTGTCAGCTGATTACTGCATGTAATAAATGACCAGTTATTCCGTCAATGGATTTTGTCTAGTACTCTGATATTGCAAGACAAAAATGATTGGATTCATCAGACTTAAACTATGAAAGAACAAGAGCATTTTTACACATGAAATGTCCACCACAGAGTCCAGAACTTATCCCTATTAAGAATCTTTGGGATGTACTGAAAAACATTGCAGAAGTACATTAAAATTATGCCACAGCAAATGTGCAGTAATCAAAGCAAAATCTGGTCTAACGAAATATGAGAGTGTATATAAGAACATGAGTGCCCCATTTTAAAAATGAATGTTTTTATTCATTTCTCAGTGATTATAGGTAATATATAACTTTTTTAAACTATATTTTATACTATATTACTAATTATTAAACATATTTATTTTTATAAACACATTTTAGTCAACATTTTTTTAGAAAACTAAACTAAATTATATATATATATATATATATATATATATATATATATATATATATATATATATATATATTTATATATATATTTATTTTTTTTTTTGCTTCTCTTTATTTTTCTTCTTTTTAGCTTTTTTAACTTAATATTTTTCCTTAACAAATAAATTTGCGTGTAATGAACAGTTAATGTGAGTTAGTTTGCTATTTTAGCTCCATCCATCCATCCGTCCGTCCGTCCGTCCGTCCGTCCGTCCGTCCGTCCGTCCGTCCGTCTGTCTGTCTATCTATCTATCTATCTATCTATCTATCTATCTATCTATCTATCTATCTATCTATCTATCTATCTATCTATCTAATATTTTTCCTAACAAATAAATTTGGGTGGCCATCCATCCATCCATCCATCCATCCATCCATCCATCCATCCATCTATCTAATATTTTTCCTAACAAATAAATTTGGGTGGCCATCCATCCATCCATCCATCCATCCATCCATCCATCCATCCATCCATCCATCCATCCATCCATCCATCCATCCATCTATCATCTATCTATCTATCTATCTATCTATCTATCTATCTATCTATCTATCTATCTATCTATCTATCTAATATTTTTCCTAACAAATAAATTTGGGTGGCCATCCATCCATCCATCCATCCATCCATCCATCCATCCATCCATCCATCCATCCATCCATCCATCCATCCATCCATCCATATCGATCGATCGATCTATCTATCTATCTATCTATCTATCTATCTATCTATCTATCTATCTATCTATCTATCTATCTATCTATCTATCTATCTATCTATCTATCTATCTATCTATCTATCTATCTATCTATCTATCTATCTATCTATCTATCTATCTATCTATCTATCTATCTATCTATCTATCTATCTATCTATCTATCACTAAAAGTAGAGCATGAATAAAAATGTATATTTTTTTAAAGCTTTTGTATAATGCTTAATTTTTCAAGTTTTCCATGACCCGAAGACACTAAAACACTTTGTAAGTGCAGCTGCGCTCGTGGTCACCTCATGGCGTAGAAAATGAGCCGTGCTGTTTAACCCTGTATAACGTACGCTGGCAAGATGTCCATATTTCAACATTATACTGCAAAAAGCCCTGCAGACACGCAGTTGTACGATTTGCACACTCCACCAACCTCCATTCCATCTGTCTGCTCTATTAAAGCTCCTGACCAACAAACACACACACACACACACGCAAACAAACACACACTGCACTCCCACATACCTTGAACAGGGGGGAAACAGTACATGTGCAGAGGGAGTGTGTGTGTTAAATCTCTGAGGAGAAAGAAATGGATGCAGTGAGGTGGCTGACACTCACCAGACACTCCACCATATGTGGAGCGTCGTCCGCGGCCGATGGCGGGCCAGGGAGAGCCGTCTGCCTTCAGTCCCATCAGCCCTGAAACCGTGTTGGTGGCTGTGACTCCATCTGCTCCACCTGCGCCAACAGGGAAGAGACATTAGGCATGGTGGGCGAAAGAGGAGGAGGAGGAGGAAGGCCAAACCTGAAAAAAAATCTGCAGTTTGGTTTGTGGGGAGTTTTTAATTCAGTTGCAGAGATGTTTTGGGAGCTGTGTCTGTAATTTGTGGAATGGGAAATGGTTTTATTGAGGACATATTGTGCATTACTGGATCTTTTGTTCCCTGAAGTCCTTTCAGGCATCAGTCAAGGTTTCTTGCACCAGAAATCTGCCATTTAGTTTTATATGAACAATATTTTATTAGACTTTTGGAGTGAGACTTATCTGTACATGTCTGTGAGACTTTGTGATTAGAAAACAATTTATACATGTAACAAACGTATCATATCAAATATGTTCATACCTAAAAGCGATGCACCGAAAAAAAGATTCTGGGTCGAATCTGAAAATTTTGGATGCACTTGGCAGCAAATTAAAAAATGAATCTGCTTTGTAATAATTATTTTTATTTTATAAAATAATATAAATAAAATTCATACATTTGTTTAAGCATATTCCTTCGGCTCAGTCCCTGATTTATCAGGGGTCACCACAGTGGTATGAACCACCAACTATTCCAGCAATTTTTTGAAAGTGAAAGCCCTTCCAGCCGCAACCCAGTACTGGGAAACACCCATACTCTCATTCATACACACACTCATACACTACAGCCAATTTAGTTTATTCAATTCACCAATAGCACATGTCTTTGGACTGTGGGGAAAACCGGAGTACTCGAAGGAAATCAACACCAACATGGGGAGAACATGCAAACTCCACACAGAAATGCCAACTGGGCAAGCAAGACTCAAACCAGTGACCTTCTTGCTGTGAGGAGACAGTGCTAACCACTCAGCCACCATGCCAACCTTAACGTTCATACAGTAAGACTTATTAAATTTAGCTAAGTAACTTAAATTTGACCGTTTTTAAAAACACAAACTATATATTACAGATAGTAAAATTGGACTATTGTTGCCATGAAAGCACAGTAGCATTATTGAAAGCAGCAGTAACAAGTATATTTTAAATGTCATGTAGTTGCATGTGCGGTTTATGCATATATATTGTAAGTATACAGTACATGTACATAAACAGAGTTTACACAGAGTGTAACACTGAGCTATTTTAAACTTTGACCATGCTAGTCATTAGCTAAGTTTTCATCCACCTAATTTTTTGCGCATTTTGGATATGCGCATAAAAAAACAGTTGATTGAAACGCCATCAATTTTGAAAATGTGCATAAAAATGTATGTGCATAACTGAGTAGGATAAACTTTTTATTCAATCAGAAGAGATGCGCATAAACTACGATGAAAACACGTTTACCGAACACATTTCAGTTTGTGTATTAATAAAGGTCATGGGATTTTGTTATAAATAGAAATGTGTGCGAATGGACAAACCAGCGGCTGAGCACACTGTAAAACATCTGAAAAGTTGTTTTGGTCATTCTAAAACTTAACCGTAAACTTAACTTAAACTCTTAACCGTTTCAGTATTAGTGTTATAATATATGAATCACCTCCAGAAACCATCTGTGCTCTGCGTCTAATGCCTTCAAATGCCACCACGCATTCATTGCATGTCCGCATCGTGTTCTGGGGCACAAGTCATTTATTAAATAAGTGAAAGATTGATGCAGCTTCTTCTACCACAGCCAATTACATTTTTACTGTTCATATTTGGTGCCAGATAATCAGGAAGTGATGTTTTTGTTCTCGTTGGATGGAATTGCTGCTTTATCCGCACATATTTTATGCAATAATCCAGTTTTGCACATAAATTTCATTCGCATTTTTGGATGGAAACATAACTATTGCTGTTCTGAAATGAATGGGCATGCTTTCTGCGTCCTAAAGTTACTTTACTCTCTGCATGCCGTTTTGGCCAACAATGTAATGCATCCCTAATACATAGTATAATAAATATAATACTACGGTTACATCCAATATCAGCTATTTAGTAATACATTTACTGCTATTTTTTTACTGAATACACAAACAAACTTTTGTATTTTTGTATAATACATTGGCGTAATGTATTTTACCAACATAGGCTCTTACCAACATTCTGAAAACGTAGCGCTATATACATTTCTAAAGATTGCAAATTATGTAGCTAGAGGTACATATAGCTGCATTCTGTCTTTAAAAATAATGCTTTGGGCTGCTCCTTTTCTTGCCTACCAGCCGACCGCTTATTTCCATCTGAACAGCTTTTCAGATGTTACCAATTAGTCCAGTGGCTCGCTGTGTACGATGGAGAATTTGAGACACAGAGTGGAGTTGGCCACGACAATGGTGTTCGAGTATGGTTAAGAACAGTTCCAGAAAGCAGGTAAGACAAAAACAAATGCCAAAAAAATTTAATAAAATAAACAAGTAAATAACAGGGTGAGAATGTGGTAAAATCTGAAAACATAAAAATCAGGCTGCAACAAGCTCTTTTTCTGTATTGCTTTTGAAAACACTTTCGGTTGGGTATAGGAAAGTGGGTGTGCACTAGTCAATCTGTAATTTTTAAAACATTATCGGTTGGGTTTAGGGAAGGACGAGGATGGGATATCGGTAGGTCAGTCAGTCAGTCGACAGCGGCCTCTAGTGGATTTACGCAAGAACATTATAATTATAATGTAGCTCCTGGAACATATTAAGCACTCTCTAGAAATATATACAGGGGTATATTTTCACTTACATTTCCCTACCCTAACCCTACCCCTAAGCACAACCTCACAGAAAATATGTGGTGCATTTGGAATGTGAAAAGACTCCATTAAGTATGATTTTTAACGTTATGAATACTTTATAAATTTATTTAGTTGGGAAAGAGGTAAAAATTACATTTAAAATATGATGTATTTCCTAAAGATAACACAGTTCTCAACCTATTTACCCCCCTGTAAGAAAATGTTTAAAGGCGACACTGACAAATTTAAATCCCAATAAAGAATAAAAGTGAATCAAAACAGCTTTTGCTATTGTGTTAAATTCCCATTCAATACAAAACACATAAGAATAGAATGAAATACCAGATCTAAAATTAAAATTGTCTAATAGTTCTGCACAAAATCACTTAAATAAAGCAGATGTATTGCACCTTTAAAGATAGATTCTGCATAGCACTTAAAGTGGTCCCCCTAAGATTATGAGCCAATGAACCACTTTTTAAAGTGTGTACTAAATTGAATATATTAGTACATTCACCACTATAACACATTTATTAATGAATTCATTACACTTACATTGTGGATACGACTACAATAATATTTTATCACATAAATATACTGCTATCATTACCCCAAACTGAAATAAATCGAACACAAAATGTCCAAATACCTTCCTGCGCAGCTTTGGCAATGTCCACGATGTTGGTCACATTAGGAGTGAGTTTGGCAAAGAACGGGGTGTGAACAGCCTGGCGAACCCAGCGACAGATGTTCCTCACCAGCTCTGGATCCTGCACAAATGGGTCATCAAACCAACAAGCAAACTTAAACAATGACCAAACAGCCATGGGACAACAAAAACACACAACATAAGAGAACAGTAAACATCCAAAAAAAGATCATAATGTCGTAAATTCGACTTTTATGTTCTGAATCTCGAAAGCTCTAGTCGCCATTTACAAGTCTTCAGAATTACTTCAGAAACTCTTCTGGAATGTGATGAGGGTGAGTAAATGATAAGAATGAAGATTTTGTGTACGACTTCATTACATATTTAATGCACATTTCTAATGACATATAAAATATATATTTTTCTTCAGTCATAAGTCTCCACTTTTTCAGCATTTATGTACACTTTGCAGTTTATTTTATATACTGAAGGACTCTAAAAGAGGAATAAGTTAGTAATAAATAATATGCCCTATTATAAAGTATACAACACTTCAATGTAACATCTTTAATGCAAATTTTTTTCAATCTTTTTGCATTATTTTCTAAAAACAGTGATTAATAAACACCATCTTTAAATGTTTTCACTAATGGTAGGCTCAGAAGGCTGTTATCATCTATCCACATGGTTGATCAGCTGTACTTATAGAGAAGACACCAGATCCAGATCTGTTTTTACATTACTGTGATGGTTGAGTTTAGGGTTGGGGTAAGGATAGACGTTAATAAAATACAATTATTGGGAAATTTAATAAACAATATAAATATTTCTTGTGGTTAATCAGCTATACTAAAGAAGATTCCAAATCCAGATCTGTTTTTATAATACTGTGATGGTTGAGTTTAGGGTTGGGGTAAGGCTAGATGTTATTAAAGTACAATTATTGGGAAATTTAATAAACAATATAACTATTTCTCGTGATTAATCAGCTATACTAATAAAGAAGACTCCAGATCCAGATCCAGATCTGTTTTTACATTACTGTGATGGTTGGGTTTACAGTTGGAGTATAGGGGTGCGAAGCAGTGGCGCAGTAGGTAGTGCTGTTGCCTCACAGCAAGAAGGTCGCTTGGTCGCTGGTTCGAACCTTGGCTCAGTTGGCATTTCTGTGGCCGGAATGTGTAAAAAAAAAAAAAAAAAAGTCATTATATGGACAAGTCTAAAATGGCTTGTTCCAAAGAGCCGACCCCGCAACCATATGGGACTACGGCAAAAACGTTAATAAAATACAATTAATGGGAAAATTAATAAATAATATAAGTAATTCCCGTTAACTTCCGACTGCAGCCGTGTGTGATCTATAGCCGATGGACTACGTAAATGGATGATAACAGCCCTCTGAGCCTACCAGTAAGCGCAGAAGGCCCCTACTGGCCCGTATCTATTAGCTAACCACTGATAATGCCCATCTGAGTGATAACCAGGGCTTGACATTAACACCTGCCAACCCGCCAAATGCATGTAGATTTCTGCTGTGGCGACTTAGACAGACACTCCCACTAGCTGTTTTGGCTGGTTGAAAATAATTTTTATTTTGTAGCTTTCTTGAAAGCAGTGTTCAACAATAAAGATGACCCAATATTTGTGCAATTGTGATCTTAGAATGGAGATGCTCAACCCAAGCTCATTCTGGAAACGTAGCCCCGCGGACGCTTCTGGAGACCGCGATTTACGTGGCCGGAGGTACATAAAGGCCGCGTTTGTTTTTTTTCAAGTGAACGCTGCGGCGCGGTGTGGCGCCGCTCCGCCCCTCCTCTTCGCGCTCGCCGGCCGACGGCTCGCCTCTGAGTGGAGGGCTTTCCCGACGCAATCAGTTTGTCCGCTTAGCTCACAGCGTTGCGTCGGCGGAGCGGAGGCCCCGGAGGAGGAGCCGGAGCCGGCCGCGGTGGACGACGACCGGGATCGAGTCCGTGGAACAGCAGGTTCCGGAAATCAGGTAAGACGAAAAACGGAATCCGAAAAATAGGGGCGAGAACGCGGCGGGATCCGAAAACGCGGTCGAAATCGAAGACGAGGGCTTTTGCTTTTCGGCGGCTTTTCGCGCGAGAACGGTGCGGGTGCGAACGCCGTGCGCTGCCGAGAGGCGCCCGCCCGAGACTCTAGAAAGCTCGCACAGCGGCCTCTCGCGGATCCGCGAAAACAAAAAACCGGGACGTAAATCGCGGTCCGCAGAAACGTCCGCGGGGCTACGTTTCCACAATGAGCCCGGGTTGGAGATGCTGCACGAGTGACAAAAAACGGTTCGCGCAAGCAAAAGAAAGCAGGTGATGTGATTACCGAATGAGAGGATATCTCATTTGGTTTAAAAAGCGTGCGCCCTTCCGTATCCAGGCACGAAGCAACCGGGCCTGAAAACGCAACTGTTGCGATCAGTTCCCTAAATAGACTGGACAAAAAGTGATGCTCGTGCATCCACAGTCTTGCTACTTTCAAGAGCTCCAGATAATTTTTTCTTTGCGGCAGCAGTTGCTTTTGCTCTGCACACACATTTGTTGTTGTTGTGAGTGTACACAATAAAAACTAGACACCTAACAGATTCGATTGATGTATTGATCTTATCTGTACGATCAAAACTGAAAGTGTAATTTAAGTTAGTTTCAGCAGTTTGACTTTTTTTTGATGAAAACGCATACAGTATACGCAGTCTTTGACCCCAGAGGGTTAACATCATCCTTTCATTTATGTGTTTTTAACTGGTGATCTGAGAGACTTTTAGTCAGGACAGACTACTGTGCATATTTGATACATGGAAGTAATTGTTTTTAAATGTCAATGTTTTTTTTTTGTTAAATAAAAAGAGCATGTATACGACTAAATTTAGCTTTTTCAAAATATTATTTAAAATGTGTGGCTAAGAAATAATTATTTATTTATTGTCGGTGCATGTGGTCAGAGATACCTGTACATGTGGTAAATCCTTAGAGTTGAGACCTGAAAAGTCATGTGAAATAAAAACAAATTGCAATGCGACACTATGAAACTACAACGTATTTGCTCATGCACATTAAGCAAGGTCATACACACAAACAAAAGTGAAATGAATGAGGAGGCATGTGGATATAACACAAAGTCTAAATCAAGTCATTTTAGCATGTCAATCAAATTTATGCATATAAATTATATTTCCCCAACAACAAAATTGTGGCTAGTGAAAATGGCAAATGGCTAGTAACCTTAGAAATCTACTAGCCACAGTGGCTGAGGACCAAAAAAGTTAATGTCAAGCCCTGGTGATAACATTCCAATCGGCTCTTAAAAAACACCTCTGTAAAACCTTTGTCTATATGATGTCATACAACTTGAATTTTGAACTTGACTTCATTCAGCGTTTGCACATTTAATTAATTAATGCCTTCTTTGCATAATTAAACATTACATTTTATAAACTGTAATACAAAAATATTTGAATTTTTAAATGTTATCAATCAACTAATGTGTAAACTATTAGTTAATTCACTTCTTCTTTTTCCCTGCAGCATCTTGCTTTAAGTATTTGTCTTGAGACTGTGTGTGTGTGTGTGTGTGTGTGTGTGTGTGTGTGTGTGTGTGTGTGTGTGTGTGTGTGTGTGTGTGTGTGTGTGTGTGAATGAGCGAGTGATAGATGGAGAAGGGAGCCTGTAGTCAGCGGTGTGAGTGAGAGAGGGATCATAACAGTGTGAACTGCTGTTCCAGGAGGATTCATGCTTTATTAAGCTGCCCTGGTCTGTCAGTCTGCGCTGTTTAGTGGGAGAGACACTGAGAGAGAGAGAGAGAGAGAGAGAGAGAGAGAGATAGAGAGAGAGAGAGAGAGAGAGAAAAAGAGAGAGAGTATATATGTATATATGTATACAGTTGAAGCCAGAATTATTAGTAAAAACTACTTTTATTGTAGCGGAAATAAAACAAATAAGACTTTCTCCAGAAGAAAAAATATTATCAGGCATACTGTAAAAAAATTATATATATATATATATATATATATATATATATATATATATATATATATATATATATATATATATATATATATATATATATTACAGTGCAAAAACATTTCACAACCCCAAACTTTTGACCAGTAGTGTAAATTATCATATATCATCATAATACTTAAGCTTTATACTCATCATAGCACATGCTGCTGATAATGAGACAATAAAAGTGATTTGATTTTATATTAAGTAGATATGTCATCATATTTTTTATGTTATATTTGTAACATTTGTATGTATCATTGGTAAAAATCTATTGTTCTGCTTAATGTTCTTACAGTCATAAGTACTGCATTTAAAGACTTTTGTTATCTTTTATAAGTTTGTCAGTGTTTTTATTGTCACATGTATTCAATTTAATGTACTGCCTTAACAAATAAATGCATTATCATTTAATTAAATTTCAAAACTTTGGCCTATTTCGTCTGACTAGTCTTGTCATTTCATTTGTGTTTTGATGAATGATGTAATGTTATTTTTGATCAGGACACTCTTGTAAAAGAGATTTTTAATCTTAATGTGCTTTTTTCCTGGTAAAATAAAGACTAGGTGTAATCTTTTTTATTAAATCACATTAAACAGCATCAACTATATTCATTACCTAATATGTTTACAACTGTTTTTATTCTTTTTCAATCTCTTAATTTTTGCCCGCACATTTTCAAGTGACATTTTAGCCATTGCAGACAGTCCCTTTCCTCCAGGCCTGAAATAAAGAAACACAACCGCATTAAACCCTTTATATCCCTATGAAGTAAGACAGACATGGCTTAATTCAAGCAGGGAAGTCTGATGTCAGATCAGTCGGGATGCTTTAAAAGACTGTAAACCCACCATGAAGCTTTCATTCAGTACAGCCTCGGCTCGGCTCTCAGTCCTTCCCGGTCTCTCTTTTCTTTCACAGGAAATAGGTCTCTGTTTTGACATATCCAATAACTGTTGGCATATATTCCCTTGAGCAATGGCTCTGCCCGTCTTTATAAAGAAGTGTGATGTACAAGCTGTATGTGCAAAGCGCAGTTCTAAGGTCACTCCCTGCACAGGAAAAGGTTAGCATTTGATTTTTAAAACCATTAGCCGGAATTGATTT